AAACCTCCTTGATGATCTTGAGGTCCATTTCATCTCCAGATGTCAGCTTCCAGCGGTTGTGCAGAGCTGCTGTTTACCTGCTGTTGTCGTGAGTGATGGCAAGTTCTGCCGAGCTGGGCTTTCTGTTGTCTTAAGGCATATAATACAGAAAACATATGAGGCAGATCCATCTAAAAAGGATGTTTTGGAGCTCTTAGGTTTTAAGAAGACCTGCTTAAAAGCCTGTGCTGAAGTGAGTGCATCTCTTTCTTTTAGATACATTAAAAGGGGTTTTTATAAGCATTTAATATTCTGAAGTAGACTCTTAATATTGATGTAAACTAAGTTTTTTTGGTAAGAAACTTAATATGCTCAGAAAATGGAATTTCCTCAATGGAGAAGTATCTGTATTTTGGCATAAAGATGAAAAATAATTCTTTTTCAAGATACTGCTTTTTAGCAGCATAAAAAGGACCATAAGATTCAAAAAATATAATGAATCACAGCTTTGCTTCTCATGAGTTATGCAGCCATCCTAATCTAACTCCAATAGTAAGGAATAAAAGTATGCTATACTGGATAACTGTTCATTCTGTTATATATATAAGATCTATCTTCCTAACTCTCCTGTTGCAAAAGTAGTACAGAATGAGTTTCCAGGGTTATCAAAGAATGTATTTAAAGCTGGAAAGTGGAAAAAGGTACCATGGATTTTGTTTCTCTTTCTGTAGAGACATTAATTATGTGAATTTTTCTGACAGGTTAGCCAGTGGACCAGACTTTGTGAGATCAGCATACCTCTGGCTGTTGAAGGATTTTTGACGGCGTCTCCCGAGCGCTGTCAGTCTATTCCTCCTGACATTTTACAGCTTGAGAGGAAGCTTGGAGAACCTGTCCGAGTACATAACGATGACAAAATTCGAAGGCAAAAACTTCAACAACAGAAGGCAGGTGCCAAGGCTGCAGTGCCTGTGCTTGGGAAAGAAGGAACAGAGGAAGGAAAACCAGTAGAAACGCATGAACATCCACTCCCAAGTTTGGAACTGAGCATAGCTTTCTCCAAGCTGCTTGTCCAAGAGGTATCAGATGCCGTCAACAGGGAGGCCCCTCACATCAGGAGAACAAAAACCTCTGACCTTCCACCATTGGACCACGTTTTTGCAGAAGGGCTTTATTTTACCTTGGCAGATATAGTGCTTTTGCCATGCATCCATCA